CAGGGCCAAGGCCACTTCCCCAACAGGCACCCCAGGGCCAGGCCACAGCAATGGCTTTCTTAGGCTTTCAAAGCTGCCGTTTGCCAGCCCGCAAACCCTCCAAAACTCTCCCAAACCCCCCAAAACCCTCCAACCCCTCCAAACGCTCCAAACCCTCCAAAACCCGCCAAACCCTCCAAACACCGTCCCCAGCAGGCACCTCAGATCCACAGCAATGACTTTCTTGATGCTTTCAAAGCTGCCGTTTGCCAGCCCGCAAAGGCAGCAGGAGGAAAAGGTAGCCAAAATTCATAGCAGCAGCAAGAGGAAAAAGTAACCAAAATCATCATTTTCTATGCGTTTTCGCTAGGCATTTACGGGCTGCAATTTTGGGGTTTCTCCGTCCTTCACTGCCATGGTGTTTTCCCATCCGGGGACCAGCAGCAGCAGCAGCAAAAGCTTCTGCAGCAGCAGGAGTAGGCAGCAGCAGGCAGCAGCCAGCACCAGCAGCAAAAGCCTCTGCAGCAGCAGGAGTAGGCAGCAGCAGGCAGCAGCCAGCACCAGCAGCCAGCAGCAGGCAGGAAAAAACATGAGGTTACAATGACAGTCCTAAAAACGGAGGGTCCTTGACACTCAAAGTATATATCAATCCATCCGTCTTTCTTCCTATGCCACTATCTATCTATCCAACAATCGATCTATCCATCTGTTTATCCAACTGTCTATCTACCTATCTGTCATCTATCTCTCTCTCTCTCCCTCTCTCTCTCTCTGTCCCTCTATCTATACATCTGTCCAACAATATCTATCCACCTGTTTATCAAGCTGTCTATCTACCTATCTATCAATCTATCTCTCTCTCTCTATCCCTCTATCTATCCATCAATCTATCATCTATTCACATGTCTACCTGTCTGTCTGTCTGTCTGTCTATCTATCCATCCATCCATCCATCCGTCCATCCGTCCATCCATCCATCCATCCATCCCCATCCATCTATCCATCCATCCATCTCTCCCTCTCCTCTCTCTCTCTCTCTCACTCTCTCTCTCTCTCTCTCTCCCTCCCTCTCCTCTCTCTCTCTCTCTCTCTCCCTCTCCCTCTCCCTCTCCCCCCCTCTCTCTCTCTCTCTCTCTCCACAGTCCCCCCCAAATAAAGGGGGGTCGGCGGCACCTGGGCGCTAGCCCATTCTATTTGAAAAGGAAATTGACAAGTACGATATTGGAGGGCTCCGGAAATTCTACCGCTAGTTCTCTGTATCGCAGAGCCTGTCCACACCCCTGGTACAGAAAGTGCAAGGCTGCAACGATGATTTAATACCCTGTACCGCTGGATATTGCAGATTGGAACTCATGACTTTGCAGTCGGCAACAGACCTTCCCGAAGGCCCGAAGGGTTGCCAGTTGTCTTGCGAGCGATTCGTGAAATGTATCTACTCTTGACCGGTCAGCTGATATGTGTTTCCCACGTGTGCTGCACATCTGTACCACCTGATTTCTCCCAAGTATCGTTTCCTCTCTTTATATATTGTCATTTATCATAATATATATATATAATATTCTCATTTTCTCTCTGCTTTCTGTCCTCCTCTCTCTTTTCTCTATTTTTAAAATTCTCTGTCTCTCTCTTCTCTCTCCTCTCTTCTCTGAGAGCCTCTCTCTCTCTCTCTCTGTCTTTCTTTCTTTCGTTCTTTTGCAGTCTCGATGTTTTCCATCTCTCTCTCTCTCTCTGTCTTTCTTTCTTTCGTTCTTTTGCAGTCTCGATGTTTTCCATGTTTTCCCCTCTTCACCGCCTGGGCAGGTCTAAGGTGTAGGTCACCTTCTTTCAGGACCTGCAGGTGAAACTTGAAAACATAACCAAAGAAGTCAGCAATATCAAAGAAATTGGATTTGTAGCCAGTTCACACCATCCACAGCCATCCTGAAACTTGCAGAGAGTCAGATTTATAGCCGCGTATATGCTTAGAGCATCAGCCATTTCTAGCCAAGCATAGCCATTCTGCTCTGCTCACGACCCTCCAGGATCCACTTTCCAGCGCCTGCTTAATTCCCTTGGTGCCCTTCAACGAAGGCCTCGCAGGGAATCGGTAGCAACACCGCCCTATCCGATACTCTCCGATACTATCGCTCTGCCGCGCAAGTCTGCAACTCAAAGTTCCGGGTCTGATGACGTATGATGACTTTCTCAATGATAGGCCGCTTCTGAGGATTTTCTTCCTAACCTATTGAACATCTTTCACATGTTGGAGCCCAAGACTCCATAAATATCCTGCGTTCAGAAGTCTCTCTGGTCTCCCTCATTCTTCCTTGTTCCAATGCACTGCAGTCTTCCGCATCTTCCCTCTCGCCTCAAGACTCCTTTAGAGCCCTTTGGTCTATCTTGACCGAACCAGGACTTCATAGAATCAATTGCCTTGGAAATTGAACCTCAGTTGAAATCAGAGTCGACCAACAAAATGTCCTCATCAGATTCAAAGAACTATTTTGCTTCTGGCAACATGCTTTTCACATCTTTTCACTGTAAGTTGAGTCTCATGACGTATCGTGATATCTGATTTGTCAAGTTCTGAAGCTCCCAACTACGCTTGCCATCGGGGGATACTGCCTCCACACCCTGATCGGGTCACCGGCTGAAACTTTCAAAGCAAAGACGGATGATGAACGATCAACAATATTCAACAATATTCAACAATATTCAACAATGTGACATGATGCGACATGAGCCAGAAAAGCATCATTTCAAAGTCAGCAATCTATGCCATCTATGCATCCGCAACATGCATCCGCAATATGCATCCGTGTTTCATGGTGTTTCTAGCCCGGCCTGACCATCCACAGCTGCTTCCTGCAAGTCGATGCAAGTCGCAATGTTTCACAAACTGTGAACGTCTAAGCATCTGCTGCGGCAACGTGTGCCAAGTGTGTCAAGTGTGTCAAGGACCAACACCCTTCCCGTCTCACGTTCCGCCCGCTAGGCCGCGCTGCTTTATCACAGTGACATTGAGGCTTCATATGCTTCATTTTATTATTTTTATTTCACGGAATTAATAATAATCAATATCAATTAGCCTAAATTAGCCTAAACTGTGCAGCTTTTGTGCAGCTTTTGTGCAGCTTTGGCCACTCCCGTCCTCAGAGCTGATTGCAAACTTCACAGCATCCATGAGACTTGAACTTTCCATTGCTTGTCCTGTCAGCTGAGATATGCTGAGATATGCTGAGATGCGCTGAGATTTGAGGAATGTTTAACATTGTTTAACATTGTTTAACTCTATGAAGGTCACCGCATGGTAAATCATGGTAAATCCAGAATGCGGTGTCAAATCCACCATCAGGGAACGACGCCGCGCAGCGGCGCTTACAAAACTGTCGAGATCATTTCTTTGTAAATTTTTGTAATGTGTTGGAACTCAATGAGTCGACCGTTATTTTTTCAAGACAAATGCAAGGTAATGAGCAGACATGTGCAGACATGAATGCCAATGCCCAAAATTCAACTCGAACATTTTGTCCCTGTTTAGCTGTGCCATCCTGTGCCCAAGAAGGGTGCTAGAACATCTAGAACTGGAACATGAACTGATAACATGGGACACCAGATGACACCATACAAATGTATCGATACCGTGAACTGACAAAGCAGAGCAGCAGAGTCATAAAAGTTCACCAAGTTTACCTTTCTGTCGAACTCACCCAGCAGAATTCAACATGGATACAACATGGCATGCCTTGAACGCAAGCTTGAAGCGTGTGCGTTTCCGTGCCTTCAGCTCGGACAGCAGCATCTTTGGCTGCGGCCACATCAACCTGTGGAAATGCTGCTGCAATGTGGATTCTTATGGTTCTTTCATGTTCTTTCATGTTCTTTCATGTTTCAAATACAGTATCGACATGCTTCAACTAGTTTCAACCTTTTACTTTTTGTCTGTAAATATATTTCCGTCTCTGCTGAGAGAGTCTCACAGCCCCCTTTAACTCTCTTCATGGGACGTGGGCCTTGCTACAGCTAACATACTCTTGAACATGCCTAGATATTGAACAGAATGCCGCCATGAATCAGTTGAGGAGAAGAGTGGAACTTTGCACACTGATAGTGGTGAAACATGTGAAACATGTGAAACTGGTATGTTTTGCCATTGGAAGAATGGCTTTATCTTTTGACTCTTTTGACCTTGACAAGAGATGACATCGGTTTGCCTGGATCTGACCCCCTCGATCCACATTGTACCTTCGGAACAAGGATGCGATGTCTGCAATGTCAATGCAAAGGTGAGAAGATGTGAGAAGTGAGAACAGGGTACAAAACAGGAGATGGGACCCGAAACCGGAGGAAAACACACCAAGTATAGGGGGGACACACTTGTGTTAGGAGCAAAGCGTACGTTCAAGCGAGAAGGCTGCATTCCTGCATTCTTAGGGTTGCTCTGGCTCTGACACGAGATTGTAATTCAAACAGCACATCATATACATCATACACATTCTAATATGCCACCTTGCATAAATGTGCTAACGAATTCAGGGCTACGACGTGTTTGTGCTTTCAAGTCCATGTTGACCCCTCTACGGCCCTCTACTTCTCGGCTCCCGGACTTGTTGCCAAAGAGAAGTGGTCTGGCGCCAGCGCTGTGGGCCTTCCAGCTGTTAGAGGACAAGATGGGACAAGAAAACGGACAAACCAAATAGAAACCAGAAAGGATCGATTTGCGCAAGAGTTCATCCAAGTCTACTGACGTTGAGAAGCACATGGATTGTCATGGTTTAAAGATTTCAAAATACCTTTAAATTCTTGCTATCTCCCTCCAATGCCATTTTTCTATTCGAGTAGCAATGCCGTTTTCTATTCTCGTTTTTCAAGCTTTCTCCGTTTGCACTTCGAGTAGGCAATGGATACAGCAACACGTCCCCAACACGTCCCTTTCCCTGTGTTCCATGTCTCCCCAGGTCTCCCCAGGTCTCCCCAGGTCTCCCGAGTTTCATCTTTTCCGGTTTTGGTCCCTTTGGTCCCTGCCAAGACCTCCTGCATGAGGGCCAAAGCGTAGTCAAGAGACTCCTTTTTTGCCCTGCCAACATCTGACAACCGTCTGCGACATCTGCCAACAGCAAGGAATGCTTTTGAAATCCTCTGGGATCACGAGGATTAAAAAACATCTGGCTCAAAAACACCATTCCCATCCATTCATTGCGATGCAGAACAAAGCATTTCACTGTTGCATTTTGCAAATTTCGAAGTTTACAGTATTTCATGATATTTCAAGTTTTGTCAATGTGACACGTGTCACATCGTGTCCCTCTTGCTTTGTCAATCGTCACACGACACGTGTCTTGCCAGGACATGACTGAGGTCAACACAGGTCGTAGACAATAAAGACCCAAAGGGAGCGGTTAAAGCGCTCTTTCACCAAATGTGCTGCCTAAAAAACACGTCATAAATGAGTCATAAATGAGTCATAAAGCATCACATCTTAACTTTATTAACAGATCGCAGTTGTCACATGTTTTATATATACAATCTCACTTTTTTGTCACATCTTCTGCTGAAAATCGCGTTTCATGTTTCTTTGAAGCTGGAAAGATCTAGAAAGATCTGGGTCACATTGGGGTCCGCTGAGCTGCAAACCCTGGAGTTTCCGGAGCAATCCAAAACAGCGATGGTCTTCTCCCCCACCTCACAGTGGCAAACATCCCACGACATGGACTTTGCTGACCTCAGAACTGGTACATGTCTAGACTGTCTAGACTGTCTAGGCTGCACACCTAAGCCCTCCAAATCTTAAGTCAGATCCTCCCCAAACTTGTACTTCTATCAGAAATTTAGAGAAATCTACCATACCTTCACCTTGCACATTGCCATTCCGCCTTTGACTCTTAAGATCTAGGGCCCGGTAGGGTCCTGTGAGGCGCCTTGACCTGATGATGAGCCAAAAAGTTGGTCTTCTGCTCGTTGAACTTTGGAAGCTGCTGAGGATCCTCAGCATTTCCGACCGCAACTCACTTCATCATTCCAGCATTCTGCATATGAGGAAGTACTATCATAGATTTCAAGAACTTTTGCCACAAGCTTCAGGTCAATGCAAGCCAACTCCAATACAAATCTTTGCAAACCTGTAGAGCCTTATTTATCTTATTTTGGAGCCAACATTGATGGAATCGAAAGATAACTGCTTTAGAATGAACCAGTGTCTTTTCTCTTGAATTTGATTGCTTCTAGAATTACAGAACAACAAAGCGGAGTGACGCTGGGAATGAACTGAACCGAACACCCTGATTCTTGTGCACGGTACTGGGATAGCCAGCAGTCGTTTTAAGCATTGTCAGTTTGGCATTGTGACCACAAACATTGCCACAAGCTTCAGGCCAATGCAAGCCAACTCCAATACAAATCTTTGCAAACCTGTAGAGCCTTATTTATCTTATTTTGGAGCCAACATTGATGGAATCGAAAGATAAATGCTTTAGAATGAACCAGTGTCTTTTCTCTTGAATTTGATTGCTTCTAGAATTACAGAACAACAAAGCGGAGTGACGCTGGGAATGAACTGAACCGAACACCCTGATTCTTGTGCACGGTACTGGGATAGCCAACAGTCCTTTTCAGCATTGTCAGTTTGGCATTGTGACCACAAACATTGCCACAAGCTTCAGGTCAATGCAAGCCAACTCCAATACAAATCTTTGCAAACCTGTAGAGCCTTATTTATCTCATTTTGGAGCCAACATTGATGGAATCGAAAGATAAATGCTTTAGAATGAACCAGTGTCTTTTCTCTTGAATTTGATTGCTTCTAGAATTACAGAACAACAAAGCGGAGTGACGCTGGGAATGAACTGAACCGAACACCCTGATTCTTGTGCACGGTACTGGGATAGCCAGCAGTCCTTTTAAGCATTGTCAGTTTGGCATTGTGACCACAAACATTGCCACAAGCTTCAGGTCAATGCAAGCCAACTCCAATACAAATCTTTGCAAACCTGTAGAGCCTTATTTATCTTATTTTGGAGCCAACATTGATGGAATCGAAAGATAACTACTTTAGAATGAACCAGTGTCTTTTCTCTTGAATTTGATTGCTTCTAGAATTACAGAACAACAAAGCGGAGTGACGCTGGGAATGAACTGAACCGAACACCCTGATTCTTGTGCACGGTACTGGGATAGCCAACAGTCCTTTTCAGCATTGTCAGTTTGGCATTGTGACCACAAACATTGCCACAAGCTTCAGGCCAATGCAAGCCAACTCCAATACAAATCTTTGCAAACCTGTAGAGCCTTATTTATCTTATTTTGGAGCCAACATTGATGGAATCGAAAGATAAATGCTTTAGAATGAACCAGTGTCTTTTCTCTTGAATTTGATTGCTTCTAGAATTACAGAACAACAAAGCGGAGTGACGCTGGGAATGAACTGAACCGAACACCCTGATTCTTGTGCACGGTACTGGGATAGCCAGCAGTCCTTTTCAGCATTGTCAGTTTGGCATTGTGACCACAAACATTGCCACAAGCTTCAGGTCAATGCAAGCCAACTCCAATACAAATCTTTGCAAACCTGTAGAGCCTTATTTTGGAGCCAACCATTTTTCTGACGTATGTGTTGTTGCACACAACGGCTTTGCTTTGCAATGCAGATAGCTGAGGGTGTGGCGTATTCTGAGATCAAAGATTCAAGCCTCAAAGAGTTCCGACTGAAACAAGCAACCCTAGAAGGCCTGCCAAAACAAACAACCCGGTATTACCGGTAGATATTATAAAATAAAACCCAAAGCAAACAATAAAACCATTATAAACGGGTCAGATATGAATCCTTTCAAAGCCGAGCGTGATCTTTCCTTCAACGCCCTGGAGTCTGGAGTGCTACCCCAAATTCGCCCCTGTCTTAGGCCTCTTTCATCTCCTTTCTATTTTCTCATATTTTCTCCATCAAAAAAACCCTCACTTCATACACTGCAAAGCATCCCAAGCCGCCAATGGCACCGATTCAAATGGGAGTGACTACGGTGACTTTGATCCAAACTTCACGATTTGTCCGATTTGTCCCTTTCGGAGATTCTCTGCGTGTCAAATCTTGTCAAGCCTTTGTGACGCCTTTGTTCCCTTCTGCGCAGTATACTCATGTATACTCATGTATACTCAGTATAGTGATACGCATGTCAAAAGATTTCCAAATGCGACAAATGCAGAGCACCCAGCAAGGACGTCTTTCCGGTGCTCTGCGCTCCAGCAAGCTGAATGAAGACGTTGCGCTGTCCAGTTTGACGCCTCAAAAGGGAGATTTCCGAGAACATGGGTCAGGTCGCGGAGGTCACAAAAACGGAGACATGACGAAGCGACAAAGCCTGCTTCATGAGTTCACAACATATGTAATACATATGTTCACATTCTCCGAGATTTGCGCACCGGAAAATCTTCTTTGATGAAATACCAAGTGACTGCAGGCAATTTGAGTGGGTGCCGCAGCAACAGAAAAGGGTCTCCGATGAAATCTCTTGGTATACCCCATGATAAAGCTTCAAGTTGCTTTTTCACCTGTCTATATAATGGTTGTCCAAAATCATCTAAAATCATCTAAAAACACAAAAGCAAAAATAATAATATATCATGGTACTATCATGTATTATCTGTTAAAGATTTTGCATCGTCGATGCAGGTTTGAATGGTGCTGAATTTGAAACCGCAGTAACATCTGACAATCAGTGGAGTTCTCCGGCGTTGCTGTTTTTTGACCCGGAGAACTCTAAGTAACGAACTTGGTCTGCGCTCGAGGTGCGGCTCCAGGCATTCCAGTGGACCTGAGATCATCATCGAATTGAGCACAAAATCTGCTTGGGAACCTCCGAAAACCGTAAAAAAAAAAGACCTGCCAAAACCATCGAAATGATACAGAATTGGCAGCCATTTCTGCACTGAGCACTGAGGAAATCACTGCATCGCGGTGTTTTGCAGCAGCTGCTGATAACGACCTAAGACACAAATCTACGCATTGTCCGAATCGTGCTATGATTTCAAATCCTTGCAGGACACAGCCGCTACGACTCTACGCTGCTACGCTGCTGCGCTACGTTCTCATTGCGCTGCACTGAGTCTTTCGCTTTCAGCTTTCTGCAGTTCTTCCTGGCAAAGCAAAGCGCAAGTTTTACAATTGGTTTATCATTAAGTTTATCATGAACTCCTAACGCAAAGCCCACAACTGGCCACCGGCAACCAGAGTAATTCAAAATGCAGAACGACATAAGTTCACAATATCTAACTGTGATTCCAAATGTGTCAATGTCACACAACTTCACAGTCTGATAAAGGCTACGGCGGCTACGCCTGTTGTTCTGCTGAAGCTGATTTCAAGGAGCTTAGTTCAGCTTGGACCTGCGCCCAGAAGCAGGAGCAAAATCGACTCCGACAGAAAGCACTTGAAAATCCTGAAAACCTGAAAAAAAACATGAAACAGATGGACCATGATGGACCATGATGGAACATGATGGAACATGATGGAACGCAATTATGTAAAGGATTCGAAAAGATGGAACAAACGCGAAAAACCAACAGTCCTCTTACAGCAGATTCGCCAACAGACTCTCATGTCACCATATATCACCATACAATGGGGGTGTCTGCCAAACCTGTTCGATCTGGGTGTTCTTGTCCTCTAAAGACTGCGACATGCTTTTCAAGCCTCACTACACAAAAGCCAAACTCGAATCACTTTGGCCGCACAAAATGAAAAACACCAAACACATGAAAATCCTGTGGACTTTCAGACAACCCAAACTGGAAAAATCAGCCCCACCATGTATCAAAATGTCCTAAGCCTTCAAGCTGTTCAAGCTGTTCAGAGACAGTGACCACCGCTGCCGAGAAACTTTCTGTTTCGACAATCATCTTGCTGCTATCTGCAGCGAGTTTCGCGGCTTCTTCGGCTTGACTTTTCACCTGCCAGGGTTGACCCAGCGACTAGACTGACTAGAGGGACTAGAGTGACTAGAGACTACCGGCGACTACGGATACGAAAGGATAGGAACTTGTAGGAACTTGTAGGAACGTGTAGGAACTTGGATCAAAGCGATGTAAAATGATGTAAAGCAATAAACAATATCAATATCCATCAATATCCTTCAATATCCATCATTTTCGATTCATTTTCGATTCATTTTCATCTTTCAATGTGAGCAACCGAGGCTTCAAGACCAACTTTAAGACACTCCAAACTCCAAACTCCGCAGAAGTTCTAAAACATGTTACACATGTTACACAGACATGTCACAGATTCTAAAATCAAACGAAGCCGTCCTGCCGTCTATGCTCCAAGTGGGGGGGGGGCACGGCGCAGGGCGCACGAGTGCGGCGAATGCCTCGTCCATCTGTGTTTTGAGCTTTTCCAGAGCCTCTTCCAGCTCCTTCACCTCGAACTCCGCCAGATTCCCCCAGGAATTTCCACATTTTGCCACGTAGATCCACGTAGACGTATAACACGTATCACTTTATAACACGTATAACACATATAGAACTGAGTAATCTTCAACAGTCTTCAACATTCTTCAACATCTCCCCCTAGCCTGAACAGCCTGAACAGCTACGTTCAGATCTGAACAGCCTCATGAGTTCTGAAATTTCTGGGTCCCACTTTTTGTTGTCGTTTGAGTAGTCACTACTGAGGAGTCTCCTTTGTTTCTTCATCTTCGTCCACAATCAGATCACTGTATTCTGAGTATCAGATCGTCGGTCAGTGTCGGTCAGAGTCTTTGTCCACTTCAGTGTCGCCATTGTGTCGCCATTGTGTCGCCACGCGCTTGTCCATTCTGTCCAAGTTGTGTCCAAGTCGTGCTTTCTCTTGGCCCAAGTTGCCCGGTGTTGCAGAGATTTCTTCTCTGATTGAAGCTGAAGCTGCACAGCCTCAAGCCTCGGGCTGGCCAGGCACAGAGAAGCTTAGCAAAAGTAAATAACAATAGAATTTGATTATGGAATTATGGAATCATGATGTAATGTAATATATAATGTAACATAACGTAGTGTCATTCCATGTCATGTTGTTAATTCACCTGAGCTATTTTGGCTTGAAGAATTGCGAAGCAAAAAAACCGAACGCCTCAGGATACCAGCAACAGTATTAATACGGCTTGGACTCAGTGAGATCCCCGGGAATTCGCATCTTTGGGATTTGTCATTAAGAAATGTCATTCAGAAATGCTGCTTTTTATATCATATCTATATCTATATTTATCCTTTCTGAGTAATTTGCTCCTTCAGAGCCCTTGGCTTGAAACTACCCTTACCTGGAACAATCTTCACCCTACTCAGTACTAATAGTACTACATCTAGCATCATCTAGCATCATCTAGCAATGTTCAGTGAAGTCCCGTCTCCAGTGAAGTCCAGTGTGGAGATTTTACGAACGTCGCAAGGTGCAGTTCTGAGTTTCGTCGACTTTTCACATCTTGGAGGATCCGACTCTTCGTTTCGCTTTCGCAAAGACGTCGCTTGCTCCTGCGACCAGAAATGCACCTTGACCAATTCGGATCAAGGCAAAGACGTGGCACGACAACGGATGCTCTGTGTCTTCACGCAGCATGCGTAAGGCAATATATTATGCTATGTATCATGCATCGAGTCTATATGTCGTACACATATGTAACATATGTACATATTATATATATATACACATAGGTTTTAGAGTATGTTATACGTATGGATCATACAGACAGTGTAATCCAACCTATGTAAACCAGCAAACTAAGAGGAGGCGAGCAGCTGACAAGAAAAAAGAGTGACACTTGAGAGGGGGAACACGAAAGGTAGGTAAGCAAGAAAGGAACCGAAGAAAAAATGAAGGGGAAAGGGCAGGGAAAAAAACATAAAGTGGATTCTGGTAAAAGCGACGCGGCCGTTTTCTTTCCAAAAATATGAAGGGGAGTCTGGTAAAAGCCACTGAAAGGCTTCGGCGATGAGGGTTGGTGGTGGTTGTGGTGTTGGTGGTGTTGGTGCTGCTGATGGTGTTGGTGTTGTTGGTGGTGTTGGTATTGGTGTTGTTGGTGTTGTTGGTGGTGGTAGTGTTTCTGGTGTTGTTAGTGTTGTTGGTGTGGTTGGGTTTGTTGGTGGTGTTAGTGTTGTTGGTCGTGTTGTTGGTGTTGGTATTGTTTGTGTTCCTGTTGTTGTCGTTGTTGTTGTTGATGCTGTTGTTGTTGCTGCTGCTGATGGTGTTGTTGTTGTTGTTGTCGTTGTTGTGGTTGGTTGTGGTTGTTGTTGTTGTTGTTGTTGTTGTTGTTGTTGTTGTTGTTGTTGTTGTTGTGTGTTGTTGTGTGTTGTTGTGTGTTGTTGTGTGTTGTTGTGTGTTGTTGTGTGTTGTTGTGTGTTGTTGTGTGTTGTTGTGTGTTGTTGTGTGTTGTTGGGTGTTGTTGTGTGTTGTTGGGTGTTGTTGTGTGTTGTTGTGTGTTGTTGTGTGTTGTTGTGTGTTGTTGTGTGTTGTTGTGTGTTGTTGTGTGTTGTTGTGTGTTGTTGTGTGTTGTTGTGTGTTGTTGTGTGTTGTTGTGTGTTGTTGTGTGTTGTTGTGTGTTGTGGTGTGTTGTGGTGTTGTTGTGTGTTCTTCTGTGTTGTTGTGTGTGTTGTGGTGTGTTGTGGTGTGTTGTTGTGTGTTGTTTGTGTTGTTGTGTGTGTTGTTGTGTGTTGTTGTGTCTTGTTGTGTGTTGTTGTGTGTTGTTGTGTTGTTGTGTGTTGTGTGTTGCGTGTGTTGTTGTGTCTTGTTGTGTGTTGTGTCTGTGTGTTGTTGTGTGTTGTGTGTGTGTTGTGTGTGTGTTGTTGTGTGTGTGTGTGTGTTGTTGTGTGTGTTGTGTGTGTTGTGAGTGTTGTGTGTAGTTGTGTGTTGTGTTGTGTTGTTGTGTGTTGTTGTGTGTGTGTTGTGTGTGTTGTTGTGTGTTGTGTGTTGTGTGTGTTGTGTGTTGTTGTGTGTTGTGTGTGTGTGTGTTGTGTGTTGTGTGTTGTGTGTGTGTGTGTGTGTTGTGTGTTGTTGTGTGTTGTTGTGTGGCGTGTGTGTTGTGTGTGTGTTGTGTGTGTGTTGTGTGTTGTTGTGTGTTGTGTGTGTGTGTGTTGTGTGTTGTTGTGTGTGTGTTGTGTGTTGTTGTGTGTTGTTGTGTGTTGTTGTGTGTTGTTGTGTGTTGTTGTGTGTTGTTGTGTGTTGTTGTGTGTTGTTGTGTGTGTTGTGTGTTGTTGTGTGTTGTTGTGTGTTGTTGTGTGTTGTTGTGTGTTGTTGTGTGTTGTTGTGTGTTGTTGTGTGTCGTTGTTGTGTTGTTGGTTGTTGTGTGTTGTTGTGTGTTGTTGTGTGTGTTGTGGTGTGTTGTTGTGTGTTGTGTGTTGTTGTGTGTGTTGTTGTGTGTTGTTGTGTTGTTGTGTGTGTTGCGTTGTTGTGTTGTTGTGTGTTGCGTGTGTTGTTGTGTGTTGTGTGTGTTGTGGTGTGTTGTTGTGTGTTGTTGTGTGTGTGTGTGTTGTTGTGTGTGTGTGTGTGTGTGTGTGTGTGTGTGTGTGTGTGTTGTGTGTGTGTTGTGTGTGTGCGTTGTGTGTGTTGTGTGTTGTGCGTTGTGCGTTGTGCGTTGTGCGTGTGCGTTGTGTTGTGTGTTGTTGTTGTTGTTGTCGTCGTTGTTGTTGTTGTTGCTGTTGCTGTTGGTGTTGTTGGTGTTGGTGTTGGTGTTACCCCTGCAGCGTTTTTGCTCGGTTCCGTAGTGGCCGAAAATCGTCAAATCGGTGGTGTTTTCGCGTGTTTTTGCAACTCTCGGAGCAAAAAACACCGTAAATACCAATGTTTTTGGCGGGTCGGAAGCCCAAAACCACGGTATTTACGATGTTTTTTGCCTCTGGTAGTAAAAAGCACGGTATTTACAGTGTTTTTTGGCCAGCACCTGGCAAAAACACTGGTATTTACGGAGGTTTCACCATGTAGCAAAATGTGGTTTCTTGATCCGAAAAGAACAAAAATACTGTAAATTACAATGTTTTGAGTCTGCTCTTAGGGTGCGTGGGAGGTGTGGAGGGGGGGGGGTACTAAAATGACTAGCAATCTCCTGAAGAATCAGGTAACGGGGCTGGCCGCCCTCCCCTTTACTTCGTAAAGTAAAACTACCTTTCGTGATCAGCATGATCAACTCACAGTGTCGCTCCTGAGCCTTCTGACTCTTGGCCATCAGCCTTAGCCGCTTAGCGATCACGACGTGAGGTCGACTTTACACTGCCACTTTTTTTCGCGACTCAAAAACTGAGATGCGAAAAGCTGCAACATTTTGCACCATTTTGCAACATCAACGCAGCTGCAATTGCCCTCAAGCTTAGCAAACAATTGGCCCCTGGCGCACCAACCTGCAAAGTGTACGGCCCACAGTGTTTCAAGATAAAACAGCTCCCCTCACAGCATAGACTCTGCATAGACTTTGTGGAGAGATTCCAACAAAACATTAACAAAAACACAACGGGTGACCCGGTAATGGACCTCCTTTGCTTCCTGCTTCAACTTCTTCATTGCAGTCTTGGCATGACTGATACGCCACCGCTCCTCCATGCCATGTGTAGATCCAAAGGCTGCAGCTACCAAATCCTGTACAATACTACCTTTAACGAACTTTAACGTATACAACCTATGTATACCTTTATGAATCATTTATGATTCATTTATGAAACAATTTATGAAACAGTTTCAGACTTTCAGCTGGTCGAGTGCAACTTGCTGTCCTGCGCCACATAAACTGCCTGCCTCAAAGCCTTGTAAACTCTTCGCCTCAGCATCTCAAAGAAATCTTGCTCGTCTCCAGTATTTGTCTCACGTTTTACTTCTAAATATCATGGAATGTCTGTTAATATTATTGTACATGAATTGAATGTCTCGGTAGACAGCTTCCAGAAAGTACGCCAATGCTGCAGGCCCTGCAGGCCAATGAAAAGGAGAACCATGAAACCAAAATATGATGAAATATGCAAACTATGCCATGTCGTCTGCACCATGCAAATACGCAACATATACACAACGGCCAATTCCCTGAAAGGTCCGAACACAACGTATCACACAAGTTTCTCTTTTTTCAATCAAGATAACAGTGAAAATAACAGTGGACATGCAACTGCCAAAGAATACATTTGAAACATCTATACTGAATCTATATCTGTCTATACTCCTGTTTTTTTATTATTTGTGGATTCCTGAGTTTTTGGGCGATCAGACTAGTGGAACTCATTCAAGATCAGCATAGTCGAGGGGCACTCGCCATCGTTTCCAGCTACTTTGGATCCGTGTTGCGGAGGTGACTTTCTTGTATTCCTGGAGGACATGATGAACAGAAACACGGAATCACAATGAATCCCACTGAATCCCACTGAATCTATCGCAAGCAGAAACTGCAAGAAAGGAAGCCGCAAAATGAAACTCTTTGGTCCCAAAGTGCCCTGATAGAAACAACACCGACAGCCAAAAATAGAAAAGACTAGAAAAGACTTGTCCATCTCAAACATGTTGCCGTAGTCTGACAAGCACTACTGTGGTAGTGTTTTTATTCATCGAAGGAAAGATTCACCGGGAAATGAGAGAAAATCCAAGCAGGACAGGGAATGTAACGAGGACCTGGAAAGCAACGATTGTACAAAACAGGAGTGAACCGAAGATCGGCACAGCATGCACAAAATTGCATACAACAAAGACATCAAAAGAGTCAAAACCTAAACAGAAAATCTTTGTGATAATATGTGATACCATACAGACATATACAGACATATAGAAAACGCAGCATTTCAAGATGGTGTTCAACATGCTTCCACTTTGGCTTGTTCTGCTACCAAGCATTGGGATACAAAAGAAGACTTTGAATCTGGTCGCAGTGCTGTGCCTTTCTCATAAGGAACACGTGTGCAAATCCTACATCTACATCGCAACTAGATTGGATCAATCTACGGCATAGATGGCATAGATGTAACATGACGAAAAAAAAGGTTTTGGCCTTTGCGAATCTGCGACCAATGATACCTGTCGCGTGAAAAACGCCCAAAATATCCAAAATCTCATGATCATGGCATGGCAGCATGCGGCATGGCGGCATGGATATATCATACAGTATCTGCTCAGTATCTTCAAATCATGGCTCCCAACGCATGTTGCTAGTTTGTCACGCCAATCCGGATACAAGTTCTTGTCTTGGCCCTAAGTCCTTCTGTCTTCATTAGCCCGTGACTTAACACAGACATTCTGCTTTCGCCACTACTTTCTGTTGTTTTCTGTGCCACGACCGCCTTACCGCCTTATGCTTCGGGGTTCTCTCGTCCCCACATTCTTCCCATCGTGTCTCATCGCAGCTAAAACATGGCGGAGTAGCCCTTCCGCCAAGCTTGGATTTTAATGACCTTGGACGAAAAGCACAGCTACCGATCATTTAATCCATGTTTCATATGTTTCGAAGACAACGAGTCTTTCCAGTGGCACGTACATCACACATCTACACGGAATCTACCCGGGCCTTCTTGAGGAACGCATGGTATCTCTTGCGAGCCTTGGCAGCTTTAGCCCTTCCAATGGGACAGAAACTACATTTGAAACATCTCAAAATG